TAAGAAAGGGTGTGAATGAATATTTACTAGGAGCATCTATGCCACGGAGCACATGGCTGGCGCTCTCTGAGAGACTCGTGCCTACACCGGGGGCCTCGGAGTTTTTGTTCCTCTTCACTAATCAGACCGATTTCCAACGTTCAGTATCTTTTGAGCAACCACAGAATTTGCTCAGTGTGGGTCTCCTGTCTGCAGCGAAAGAAGTAAAACCAATCTGTCCCAGGTTGTTTATCACTGAATTGAAATGACTGTTGTTGCCTAAGGTGTCGGTATAATAATTAACCGGAAGGGAAGTAGTTATGGTAATCCAGGTTTCTGGTTTGGCCCAGAACCGGGAATTCTTCAAAATCACATGCCTGTCTTCTTAAGGACTGTTCAGACAATAAAAGTTAGGGTTTGTGGATGAGGGTTACCTCTTTACACTAATTAGAGATGTTATTTATTGTAAACAATTTGGTTGCAGAAGAAAAGCAAAAACAAAAATGTTACTAGTTTGACTCAGAAAATAGGAAACGTCTCTCTCTTTCCTTTTTATTTGTTGACCTTGTGCAGAAAATAAAAGCAATGTATAGTGACTGACAACAAAAGCAAAACGCTAGGTTTCAATGTATCAAAGACAGACGTGCATAAAATCTTCAAGCTTAAAAAGAAAAAAAAAAGGAACCTTCTCATCATGTAGACGTTCTGGCTTATATCCTCCCTGATCTCCTTGAGGAAACCAGTTCATCTTGCCAGGCACGTGACTTGATTGAACTATAAAGGTTATACAAATAATTCATTCAGAGATGGTTTGTACACAAGTAACTAATTCTTACACTCATAGCTGAAGGGGGAGGCCACATTTTACAAAGAAATAAACTAAGTCATATCAAATTACTGAAGAGTTACAGGCCAAAAATGGAATTACAGATGCGTTATTTAACTCTGTTTGACTTGCACTGATGTTACCTTTCCAGGAGTCAGTCCTGACTCCTTAGCACTCTGTAGACTCTCAGATGGAAGACAGGTAATCACATATTTGCAGTGCTGACCTTTTGCCTGAACTCGAGCCCTGACCTTTAACTTTCTGCTGGGTATCTCTGATTTCTAAGCACACAAACCATATCAGATCCCCCTTTGGACTTCCTCATTTATTTCAGCTATTTGAGTCTCTTGACCGCCTAAAAATCTTGGACTCATGCCAGAGTCCTCCTTCTGGTCTATTCACCTCTCCCTTCTTAATCTAATCAGCAGCAAATTCTTGCCAGATCGTTCCTTTTCATCCCCTCCCCACCAGGGTCACCCTGTGTCTTACCTTATTTCTAATCCAGACCTTTATCTATCTCATACCTACACTATCATAAGCCAGCCTCCCAACCAGATGGCTCCAGCCAGTCTTGGACTCTTTCGTGCCAGATTCATTTTTTGAGCTCTGCACAGCTATGTCTTTCTACAAACAGGCACTACCACGCCTGTCTGCTTTGGTGCCCTATTCATGCTCGTCTCTAACCCTACCTCTTTTCTTTAATAGTCCCTTCCTCAGTGTACACTTCTTTGATGGGACCTCCCTTGCAGTCCACATTCACGATAACAACTCCCTCGTTTCACTATCTGAATTCTTCCTTTGACATCAGGAATTATGTAGGAGTCTCTGTTGTTCTCCACATTTAATGATTAGCCTGCCTCCAGTGGAGTGTCTTTCGCACAGTGCTTTTTCCACGTAATATATCCAGCACATCCTTCCCTATCTGCACATACATGTTTAGCTACTGCTTTGCAAATGCCTGCTGAATATGGATGTACCATAATTCATGTAATCAGTCCCTTCCCGATGGACGCTGGTGGTTTCTCCAGTTTTGTTATTATCAGACGTGCTGCAGTTCCTTTCCTACCTCAAGAAACTTTAATAGCCATAGGTAAAATCAGAGCAATAGGATTGCTAGATTAATAGTATATGCGTGCATCTTAAATCTGGAGAGACACAACTAAATTACCTTTTGAAATAATTGTCACTGTCCCCTCCCATTTCTGATATCACTAATTTTCCTACCACCCAGGATCTGGACATTGACAAAGGGGGGGGAGATGGCTAATGGTGGCTCATTCCCACAGAGGTTTAGTGGGGAAACTGTAAAGCCAGGAGCAAAGTCCACTGAAGGCCAGGAAACAGGCTTTTGGTGGCCAGTGTCTGGTTCGTAGACCGGGGGGTGGGGGTGGGGTGGGGGGCGGGGATCTGGCATCCAGGACAGCAGATTGCATCATCCTTCTTTGCCAATGGTCAACTGAAGCCCAAATCAGATCTAACTGCACCCCAAAAGGGATACCTTCTCTACTTATTTGATTTTTACGGATATACATATAAATGAAAGGAAACTCCATTGCCTTAACCACTAGGATTGTCTAAGGGGATGAATGTAGATTGTGTGAACTCAGAACAGCAGAGTTCAAACTTAATCAAGACCAAGAAGCCTGCAGGGCAGCAGGTTTCATTTCTGTCGTCCTCGCTGCTTTGTGTGACCAAATGTCTCCTGTGCCAACCAGAGGGAGAGAAGAAGGGAGCGTGTCTCTTAACTGCTTTGGAGTTTTGTCGGTCTATTTAGCATCCCTTTTTGAAGTCTCAAGATTGATGGAACAATAAATGCCATTTAACACCCGTGCGCTATTTTGGATTCATTTGAAATTACACCTAGAAGTAGTGTGTTGTAATTCACCCCAGCAAAACAAATTAAATTGTGGCAACAGCAAAGTATGTTACTTTGCTTTTGTCTTGCTTTGTTTTTAAACAGCAGTACGTGGACATTTTGGTATGACGCGTATTTTCTAAATGTTGGGGGTGGGGGAGCCTGGAACAAGGAATAAGCCAGAATGTTTGGGTTGAATTGCTGAGTGGTGTTACTAGTATACCATAATGTAAATTTTGACAATGCCAGTGGGCCAGTTGAGAGGAGTCCCAAATAAGACACATTCCTTCAGTAGTGTGAGAGATTAACTTTAGGCAGTTCTTTCTCCCTCTCTCTCTCTCTCTCTCTCACTGCATTCAGAAGTCCCACCATAAGATAAGCTACCAGGAAGTCGCATTTCCCAGGGGACTGGGGGAGCTTGCCTAGTGTGATCACTTCTTGATGAATCGAGTGGCCAGACCCTGGCCTGGAAGGCGGGGGCTTCTCTCTCCTAAGAGCAAAGCATAGCCTACCGGGTGTAAAAGCGCTGGGCCAAAATGATAACGTGAGCTGGTGGATCTTGGGCGACCCTCCTGCCCAATTCCTGAGCCCTCTGCTTGCTCCTTTCCAGGGGCTCCCAGCTCTCCAGAGTTTCAAGTGGTTTCAAGTTCCTGCGGGGCTGAGACAGCTCCAAGAGCAAATACAGCCCCTTCCTGAAAAGTTTTCATTGATTTTAGAGCCTCGCCAGAGAAGGCAGGTTCGATTCCGCCATGAAGCTGCTCCAAGCCTGGCCCTGGGTGCTTACTACCCAGGGTCACCCTCCCATTGATCGCAGAAAGCCTGGGGACCCAGCATCAGCCCATGGCCGCGCTGTGGTGAACCTCAACTCACTGGACCGCCCGCGGCTCTGTGAATGCAGGAGGGGAGACGTTGTCCCTAAACCCTCTGAAAGCCCCCACCCAACACTGTAGCCTGCACAGGGTGGGCAGTCATTTCTTACTTCCTGGCAGGGCGAAGCGAATTCACGCCAAGAGGGGAGGGACTGAGCTCGGCTGGGAAGAATACGAATGAGCGACGGTGGTGTGGACGGTCTGGAGAGGAGTTTGGGGACCGGGAGGCTGCGTCCCAGATCCAGGGCGCGGGGGCAGCAAATGCTGAGTGCAGGCCCCGCCAGGCCTGCTGCTCCTGGTTACTGTCCTGCCAGAGCCGACGGCTGGCCACCTCTTCAGTAGTTAGTGGTGACCAGCACTCAGTAGCTGCTGAATAAATCAAAGTTTGTGGCGCGAGAGAAGAGAGAGAAGACCTACTCTCCATTCCAGCCGCATCCAGAGCCTGGGAGGGCCTGGCTTCCGGCCGCCGTGTTGCTCCTCGCTGGAGCAGCAGCGAGTCGCCCACATCTACTTGGCCTTAGCGGGGCTCAGGGTGGGGGACTTCCCGGGGCTGGGGACTTCCCGGGGCGGGGGCTGGACTGAAGGGTCTGGATACCGGACATGTCCACGTCCAACTCTCCTAAATCCCTGCAGCGGAGGCCAGGCAGAGGGGGCTCCGGTGGCTGGCCAGCCCGCGCGGTGGAGAGCCCCGGCCCCGCGTGGAGCTCGGGGGCCGACAACGACGGCCATGGGAGATGGGGTGTGGGGCCCAGTCGCTTCTCAGGATCAGGTTGGAGTCCCCCCCCCCCGCCCCCCGTGGGCCACTGGGGCAGGCGTGTCGCGGCCCTCTTGGACCGCGGGGCCCGCCTTCGCTTTCCGCTATGAGGCCCGCGGCCTCTCGGCTGAGGTCACCGAGCCCAGGAGCCCTGTAGAAGCCCGGGGGGGCGACGCCAATCGGACGCGCCACGGACCCGCTCTCAGTGCTTTTCACACTTTGCCACGGCCTAGGACCGCCCTCGGGTCCGAAGGGGCTCAGGGCGCGGCGTGGGGGAGCCTTTGTGCCCTCGATGTTCGCCGGGCCTTTTCCTTCCGCAGAGAGCGAGCTTCCCCCACCCCTTTCCTCTCGAAAGTCCTGTGCTTTCCCTAGAAGTCGGAAAGGGGCTGAGCAGGGTTCGGAGGCTTCTCTTTAGCTATCTTTCCCGTCCGGAAAGTTTTAAAACCCGAGACCCTTGGCCAGAGGGAGGTATCTGGGGTCAGGGGAAGGGAGAGAGCGGTGCATTCCAGGCCCTCTTCCTCCCACCTGGTCCCCCGGCTCCCCTCCCCCGCCCGGCTGGGCCGGGTTCCCCAGCTCCAGCAGCGGCCCCCGGGAGCGGCAGGGTTAAGCCCTGGAATGTGGCGGCGAGGAATGTGCATGCAAATGAGCCTGGCGGGGCGGGGCCCGGGCGGGGCGCATGCTAATAACATGCTAATAGAATGCAAATGAGGAGGCCCGTATCCTCCACCACCGCAGCACAGCGGAGCTTCCCGGATCCAAGCCCAGACGGCGGCGGCTCTGGCAGCCTGGGCGCCGAGACCCTCGGCGGCCACAGGGGGACGCGGAGGAGGAGGAGGAGGAAGAGGCTGAGGCAGCGGCAGCAGCCGCGAGGAGGTAGAGGAGGGTTCGATCTCAGGCTCCGACGCAGACATGGTGGACTGATCTCCGGCGGATTCCTGGACTGATCGCCGAAGCGCCCCCTGCGCGTGGCCCCGCCGTTCCCTGCGGCCGGCAGCTCCGGGCCAGCGCCCGCGTCCGGTGCAGCGGCCGGGCCGGACAGTCGTGTTCCCGCCGCGTCCCGCGCCCGGTCCCTATGGAGGCGCCGCTCGCCGGCGAGGCCGCCGATCATGCCTAGGAGGGCCGGGAGTGGGCAGCTGCCGCTACCCCGGGGCTGGGAGGAGGCCAGGGACTACGACGGCAAGGTCTTCTACATCGACCACAACACCAGAAGGACCAGCTGGATCGACCCCCGGGACAGGTGGGCTGCAGGGCCGCTAGGGGCGCGGGGACCCGCCTCGGAAGCGCGGCGGTGGCTGTTGTCCGGGAGACCTGGCCGAGCGGCGGCGCCCGCAGCCCGGGGGGCGTGGGGCGTCGCCGGCCTCGGGGTGCAGGGAGGGGTCCTGGGAAGGAGGCGCAGAAAGGTCTGTTGGAGCTGGGCTGCGTCAGCGGGTCGAGCGCTTTGGAGGGGTGCACCCTTTCCAAGGCCCCTTTGCCCACCCACTTCCCGACACTCCCAGGACTTTTGGACACTCGGGGCCCCTCCGAGGGACCGGTGGAATTGGCGCCTTGGGCTGGCACTCTGTGTCCAGTGAACGGGCCCACAGGAGCCACCTGAGCCCTGTTTGGAGCTCACCATCTCCTAAAGTTGACTGAATTGAGATTGGAGGGCACATTGGGCCTGGCGGGAGGGGTCAGGCTCAGGCCCCAAAGGAGGCCTAAGTGCAAGGTGGGGAGCCAGCCGCCCAGGCTACCTGGGACATATCTCTGGCCGTCCTTTGCTCCCAGGCCGAACTGGGGGTTCTTGATGGGGCGTGCCACCGGTCAGGCCCCGAGGTCCTGGGCTCAGAGGCGGGCACCAGGCACCCTTCCTCCGTGGGCCCTGGCGGTGGATGTAATTGGCTTTGACCCTGGGGTTTCCTGTCAAGTGTTAGTCCTCACCTGAGAACTTGAACTGACTCCCAGACTTGAAAAGGCAGATTCTTTTTTGAAGTAAGAGGTGGTGAAATGAACACTGGAACTGAACCTTGGTTATTGAGGAAATCCAACTGGAGCTTAGCATGATTTCTTGTAGTTATCAACACACACTTTCTATTCCCGCTGGGAGGTGCAGGGAAGCGTGACAAAATCATTGTCTGTGAAGTTCAGGAGCTGCAGTTTGGCTGGATGTTCACAAGTGTAACTCCTCTATCATATCTTCTTTACTCTTAAAAGGAAAATATTATCTATTGAGAAGCTACTCCTAATTGTAAGTTTAAATAATATGTATATACTACTAGGGATAACTCCAACAGTTGGACTTTGATCATTTCTGAAACTTTTTTCCAGCTTTTTGTGGAACGTGGCCTTAGAGATTTATAACCTTTCCAGGTGTCTTTTTTAATGAAACATTCCCCTTTCCACAATTGGAAGCTGTAACTTTCATCCTTTGTATTCCCAGTTACTTTTATCCTAAGAATATTGTTTTCGAAAGTTGTTGAGCAATTACAGAAAGTCATAAATTACATTACTAATTTATGGAACAACCCTTATTAAATTATCCATGAGGGTATCGGTTCAGGTTTCCCTCCTGAAATGAGAAAGGACACCTGTGCCGAAGTTCCTTCTTGCCACAGCTTGGCTGCCTGCTGCTGGCGTGATGAAACTTCTCACAAGCATCACGGCTTCACAGTCTCCCCAGACATAGCTGTTGGCATAAACTTCCCGCTCCAAGCCCGTTACTGCACTTGAAAACGACCTCATAGACAGTACGTGTCAGGGATGAGGATGTGCACCCAACAGCATCTTTTAAGGCACCTGTATAATTATTTGACCTTCACAGTTGTGTGGGAATTCTTTCTGCTTTCTGATACTTGGAGTTTCAGGTTATTGACATTGCAATGAATTCTTAAAATAGTTGGGTATTTCCTGGTCTCTTCTGCTTCCATTTCTGTCTTTGATCATATTATCTCATTTGTTTTTACCAACAAGGATTGTTAAGAATATGGAATGCCTTGGGTAAAGCAGACAGAAAGTGAAGGGAAATTATATGGCTTTGCTTATCCATATTACTACTTCTTGAACAAATTAAGCATGTCTCCTATTTTAAACTGTTAATGGATTAACAATTATTCTGAACTCTGTTTTCAGGAAACTGGGCAAGCATTCATTTGATGGCAGCAAACAGTTTTAACTAAGATGATTTATTATCATTCCAGTTTTCCTGAAGCTGTTGGATCTCTTAAGGATCTATAAATTTGACTGGTTATTTCTGGATCTCCATATTCAAGGTTTAAAAGAGATTCCTTGAGATCAGAGTTTACACTGACATATTTGTGTTTTCTTTTAGGACAATGAAGTGTCTGCAAGTCTTGCTAAACAGTGTGAGAGGTGTTGGGGAGGGTGTTTGGAGTAAATATTAACTCTAGTCAGTGTTGTTCCACGCTTACCAAACATAGGGTAAGAGAGATGCTATGCAGGCCAAGGAGTGTGCTCGTTCTTCTACAGGATCAAATTACAAATCCTGGGAGGAAAGTGACTTGATGGACTGTGTGTGGGTCTGCAGTACTTTTGAACTTTTAAAGCCATTTAGTTAAAATGATCGTGCCCTGGCCAGTGTGGCTCAGTTAGTTGGAGTCATCCTTTGGTCTGAAGTGTGGGTTTGATTCCTGGTCAGGGCACATACCTAACGTTGCAGGTTCAATCCCAGTCTGGGTGCATGTGGTGTGTATGAGAGGCAACCAATCCATCTTGCTCTGTCTCTAAAAGCAATGAAAAACATGTCTCCAGGTGAGAATTTTTTAAAAAAAGGATCATGATGATATATCCAGTCACATTTATGTTAAGAAAAAGAATTTTGTGTTTTTGACAGTCTACCAGATTTGGGGAGGTATTTCTGATTGTATAAATTATTGTGTAGATTTAATGGGGGGACAGCAGCGGATTCTATAGGAACATTATTTCATTCAGTAAGTTGTGATTGTAGAATACTGAAATATTACTTTAAAAGTGCTCTCAAGCTTTTGGAAGTAGATGAAATAATGCAGACTTTGAGGATGTGATCAGAGCTTTTACTGCTCCGCCTCTTAATTGAGTAACATAGATGAGTTCCTGAATTCCTCTAAACCTCTAGGTTTCAACTCGAAAATGAAGATAGGAGAGCTGGGGAAAAGGTACAGAGAATAAATAGCAGAGATGGCAGGTAGAAAATAGACAGGGGGAGGGCAAGAATAGTATGGGAAATGTAGAAGCCAAAGAACTTATAAGTATGACACATGGACATGAACTAAAGTGGAGGGAATGTGGGTGGGAGGGGGTGTGCAGGGTGGAGGAGAGTGAAGGGGGAAAATGGGACAACCGTAATGGCATAATCAATACAATATATTTTTTAAAAAGATAATACCTCCTACCTCAGGGGGGCGCTTGGGGGCCCATAATTAGGGTCCAGCCGGATCGTGGTAGCTGTACAGTTGTCTGCTGCTCCAGTGTAGGACCTGGGTGGAAGTTCAGGCTGCCGCTGAAAACAGTTGACATACTAGCACACATTCATTCAGTGTTTCTTCTGTGGCGGCCACTACGCCACGCCCTTCAACTGTCATCTCGTTGTATTTGCCCATCGGTTCTGTTACATGGGCCCTGTCCCGATCTTCCACTTACGTAAGGGGAGGGCGTGGCATCACGAGAGGTTGTTAAGAGTGGAGCCAGGGTTTGAAGCCAGATGTCCGACTCTCCTGCCCAGGTGCTTCTGATCCCTCTAGACTTCCCGGACACCTGGACATGCTCGGGAGTCCCCGGGAGAGGAGGACCTCTCTGTCCGGTGATTTTTCAGGCCAATTGACCGGTCTTGATTGATCTACAGAGGTACCTGTCAACGTCTTACAATTCTGTGATCCCTGGGTTAGCCACATGTAAGGTCTGGTTCGTGAATGCCTTGGAAGTATGGGCTGCTAGGGACCCCTCAAGCTGACGACGTGAAACCAGAGTGCAGGACCTGATAAAAGTGAAAATTCAGTGTATTCTTGGGCACAGTAGAAGTTCTATTTAGGGGAAGAGTGATGGGTTCTGTCTGGCCCCTGAATAAATTATAGTTTCACAGTACGTCTTGACTTTGCCTTCTTCTTCCGCCCCCCTCACTAATCCCGGGGAGATCTACCTGTCTGTCGTCTCCTGCCTCTCCCGCCCCGTGGGCCTCTCCCCCAGTAGTGTTATTCTGCAGGCTTGCTTCCTCGCTCACCTCTGTTTTGCTCACCCTTTGACAGCACCGGTTGGTGTTCATGGTGGGCCACAGATCATGGCCAAATGGTGTGGTGCTTAAAAAAAAAAAAGACTATATTCAACAGAGAAGAAAAAGGTTGGATGGATCCATTGCCTCTCAAGGGAATACGGGGCTAAGGCAGGCAGGACTCAGAGACGGGGTAAACGGTTTTACAAACTCCCTGGAGAATTCTGCTCATCGTCTCTGCTCGGACTGAGTGTTACCCAACTAGACCATAACTTTGTCAAATTGAACTGAAAAGATTTGCCACCACACGAAGCTACTTTACGTTCAAACTTGCCGAGAGCCTGTAATCTTAGGTTTATGGCTGGTGCCAGATTGAGTGAGCCATGTTTTCTAACTGAAGGGAAGGAATCCTGTGGGGGGTGGTGGTGGAAAGGGACAGTGAGGAGGAGGAAGAGGATGTCAGCTGGGTATCACGGATGACTGAGTGCACTTTTGGCACCCTAGCCCAGGCTGTGGCACGTGATTAGGGTGAGAGGGATTCTGGACTGTCTTTGTTTCAAAGTCAAAGCAAAGAATTTCACCAGACTCCACTGCCAGAGTGTCAACTCAAGAGACCTACCTGATCTCTTACTGCTTCCTACATCCTTTGCGTATGGTAGATAGCAACGGAATATCAGTTAGTTACTGAAGAAAGTTGTTAAATAAATGAAAGAACATTAATGGAACTGCTCTCTTGTTTCCCATGTCCTGTTGGAATCTCAAAAAGCATATCTGTAACACTAACAACCAGAGAACGTTCATTTCCCAGTGAGATTGAAAATAATGAGAGAAATCAGCTGCTACGTTTTGACTAATAGTATAAAGATGTGAATTGCTTATAAGAGCAAAGAGCACAAAATCAGCCCTTACCGTCAGTCTTGGTCACCACCGCCTTTGTTGTCAAAGGCTGGCAACCACTCCTGCCGCTGGCTCTGGGTTTGGGTGCCGAGCGGTTGCTTGTGAATTATTAGAGCGATTATGGTATTTGAGGTGTGGAGAGGCTGTTAAAAGAAGTTTCGTTT